CATTTATCACATGGAGGATACATATATTTGATAATTTCTTGTATAGCAATTCAAAAAATTTCTGATTTAATTTTAACTTTCATCGAACCTTTCAATATTTTCTTCAAACTTTTTTATTACCTAATATATACAAACATATATTAATGGAAACATACGCATTCTACTATCTAATTTACACAACAAACAGTATAATATGAGAAGATAATGATGAAATGGATTTGATAAAAATATTTTAAAAATCAAATTAAATTTAAGTGGAATGATTTCAAAGTAACAGATTGTATCTTTTTATATTGTAAATCGAATTTTTTGTATTAGAATTGTTTGAAAACTTCGAATGTCAATTATAAAATTTCTTTGTGGGAAACTTGTCGAAATCAATGTGCATAATGAATTTTCAAATAATGATGAGCTTGAACATTTCTTGAGATCTTATCGTTTCATAGTGCAACCATTTGATTAAAAATAATCGGAAAGAATGAGTAGTAGAGATTGTGGAGGATATTCAAGAGAGAGTAAATATTTGTGAAATTTTTTCATTATAATGGTTGTGGAATGATTGTGGAGTGTGTTATTAGAAGTACGGTTGAGTTAGTTAAGTTAACAAAATAAGAAAGAACAGGAAAGCTGGTAAGGACAGTGGATTGTAGTTGGGTGAGGAGGGAATAAATGACTAGTTAAATATCTCCAAATGTTCCATTGTCGCATTTTTGAATAGAATGGTTGTCCATATTAGGTTAATATGAACGTATTAGATTATTATGAACATCCATTCTATTCAAAAATTAATTATGGGAAAGAATGAGTATCAGTTGACGCAAAATTGAAGTATTTTTAAAATGTGTCATTAAATGGACTTTTATATTCATTGAAAATCAGTAGTCTGTGGGATATCGATTCATTGAGAACTATAGTACTTTGATCTTTTATAGAAAAATACTAACGAAATTTGATTTGTACTTTTCAAAATTAGGCGTGTTTCCCGATCAAAGGCTTTATTTTTGTTCTTTAAGACACCAATGATATTTGAATTGTTGTTGATTTCTTAATTCTTGTTAACGTTAGCATTATTATAAATACTTTTGATTACTGTTGATCTCTAAATTAATTATTGAATCTAACCACTATACCCATACGTTCAGTTCATTAGTTTACATTAATAATGAATTGGCACTTTGTAATGGAAATGTGATATTTTCAGATTGCTTTCGGAATGCGTTTTCGAGGTTGGGGTCGCCGTGGCCCAGCACCACTTTTTCCGCCCTTATATGGACCTCCACCTGGTGCAACACCTTCAGGGCCAGTGTTTGCATGCCGACCAATGTCATTTGATCTAGCACTCTGTGAAGCTAGCTTTCCAAGGATTAAAGAATTGGATGATGCTGATTTGGCACAAGTATTGCATACGGTTTTTGCTCTTTGCTATGTGGTCAATAGTTGTTTTCATTTACTGATGTTGCTGATTATCTTTCTCATTGGGGATATTTGAATATCATTTTAGGCAATAACCAAGCGACATCAGGAGATCACGCCAACTCCGGTTGAACAAACTGCAGTTCTTGGACTAATTTCAAAAATCAAGGCTGCGATTGAGAAAATTAGCGCTGCCCCTGATCTTCTACCCTCTGTGGTAAGCTGCGTACTGTAGTATAGAAACAATTGAAATTTTTTGCTAATTTCTAGCTGCTTTTAATAAAAAAATTTATAATATTATGAGGACATTTTGAAAGGCTGTATGGAGATTATAGAACATTTTATTCGCATATGTAATAATTTTGTGCGAGGATTACAAAAGTATTATATGTATGCTGTTGAATCTATGAGTTTTGCTTGCTTTCAGACCGTTGAAGAATTTCGTGAGGTGGGATCATTTCGAAAAGGTACTATGCTTGCGGGTCATAATGTTGCTGATATTGTTATTGTATTGCGTTCACTTCCGACAGGTATACTTAAACCAGTTTCCTGGAACTGTTTCCTGAATTTTCAACCTTTACTAGGCTAATATATATATATTGCGTTGCTATCTCAGTTGCATATAGAATGTGGTAGAGCATCGGCATTTACTTTTAAGGTTGCAATCATTTAAGTATTTTTTTAATATTGTTAATCATTAGTTCAGTAGAAGCAGTATCAGCGCTCGGACAAAAAATTGTTGAAGAGCTGAAGGCAAATGATAAGGAGGGTTCGTTTGCTTTTATTGTATTTCATCTTTTTTGGATTTTCTTGTTTTGTTTTTGTCATTATTCGCATAAAATTAAAGCTAATCGCAGTATTAAGATAAGTCAAAATTGTACGCTTACTGCTCAGCAAATCATCTAGATTATATTTTAATTCTGAGGCTGGCTTTAATTTTGTGACTTTTGAATATTGGTTTAACTTTCTCTTCTTTTACACTTTATTCCTGCTGGAAATGCAATTTTCGGGCACCTAAGTAAAATTTCGAACTTAAATTTCCAACTTTCAAAATTTCCAGTATATAGCTGTATTTCGCGAGATTTCGGTTGTGAGTTAGCTGGGCCAAATGCTATTGTACGGTTGTTGATAACTACGGTTCCGTCCAACGCAAAACTTCTCGAACCTGACCTTCATTGTACAATTTCTATGCTTCGATCGGTTTTAGTCATTTTAATTTAATTAAGAAAATCAAAATTGTCACGATTAATGCTAATGTTGATGAGTTTTTGGAATTTTTTATATTATTTTATGTTATATCTCTGAGTGGCAATTAATCAATACATTTTTGAGTAAAAGAGAGCATAATGATCTCACATATGGCTGCTCTCAGACATGCTCGGTGGTTTGAAGAAAATGCGTCAAATCCAACTATTAAGGTTAGTAGGATGATTGAATCGCAGTAATATTATCTTGATATGGCTTTCCCCGTAATTATGTAAAATTTATTTGTTCTGATTTTTTTGTCTACTTTTTTTAAAGAATCTCCTCTGTAATTAACGATCATAATTTGCAGATTTTGATTCGCATCATGAAAGATATTCGTAACCGTTTCGATCAGTTAAAAGACTTGAGTGTTTGGAATATAGAATTAATTGTATGTTCACTTTTCTGAAGTTTTCGTAAACAATTTCAAGAAATTATCTTATGTTTGGTTTCAGTTGTAAAAAACTATTGATTTTATCAAGATTGAGCTGTTGGATAACTTCTTTATGCATTTAAAATGAACACAGGTATGAAAATGGCACGTAATTGAAAACACAGAAGAAAATAACTAGATACGATTATTGGATTTCGCAATATTTTTCTTTGTACTAATTTGTTTAGTCACATTATGCGGTGGTGAATACAGCATCACAACAACCGCTTTCGGCAAGTCAAGCATTTCGACGGTTTTTCCAACTTCTTGCTGCTGGATTGTTGCTTCCCACTTCACCAGCTCTAAGTGATCCTTGCGAGCAGGCTCGGCGTATCCATCAATCCCTAACTTATGAGCAGATGGTTAGAATTGATGCTGTTATGGTGCTTCAGATCGTTATTTTCTTGCACATATTGAACCACAGTAGTTTTCCATGTAATTAAAGAATTTATTATTTTGAGATCTCTCTATTTGCTGTTTTCTTAGTTTAGAAATAGTATCTCATCATTAACTTTTATGCTCTTATTGAAGTTATGTTGAATTGCTCTAATTTGCTTTTCTAAACTTTTTTATTCCTTATTAGCACTTTATCATTTATTTTTCAGGATCAGTTGTGTAGCTCATCGCAAACATTGTTGCGAATTATCTGTCATGGTGGTTATAAGCATGTACTAGGACTGGAGACCTCAAAAAGTGGTCAGTATTCCCATGGTAGCATCTTATTTCTCCTTATTTACTAATTTAATGCATGGAAGTTGACACATTTGAACTCATTCAATTTACAGATTCTAAGGTTTTTAGGATTGGTAACTGATATGACATTGTGGGGTGATGTGATTGTTACACCGTTGGAAGCAGCTTATGTTGACAAAGTAATGGAGCCCATGTACGAAGATGAAATTAGTGGTGAAAAGTCGGATGAAACAAGAACTGATAGCATGGATACTCAGATCTGAAAGTGTTTTAATTATACCTTACATTCTCTCCCTGGATACTTTCCATAATAGATGTATAGTTACCAGGAGTATAAGGCATCCGAGTTCAATCTTTTTTTGTTAATAGTTTTTCGGATCTTCTGAACCTATAACTTTTCGACCGCGTCAACAAGTTTGAAATTATCGCAAAGCTTCGAATTTTGCTAGTGATTTTGAATCGAAAATTTCTGTTTGCCGAAGGTAACTTTCGAAATCTATCTTAATCCCGATATATAAAGATTTTTATATGGTTTTGTTGTTTTTTATTGCATTATTTTTCACTCTCTTTTTGTGTGAATTGTTGATTTGTGACAGATGCAGTTTAATAAAAGATTCAAGTAAATGCTTTTTTTTGTCTTGCTCAAGTTTAGCGATCACAGTCTTTTTAGATTACCTTGACATTCCACTCTTTTCCGTTTAGTTGTCTAGGAATGACTTTGAGATATATATTTTTGATGGTTTTCCCGATAATTGAGTTAAAGATACAGTTTTTTTTAAAGCAATCTCAAATCGAGTCCATGAGTTTGCAAGTTATGTTAAGCCTTCTGTATTTGATTAGTCATTGCGAATTTTAATAATTCCGATTTTACGGGAATTGCGTGGTCTTGCAGTTCAATTCTTTAGTCCTGGAAGGCCTGTCTTCATCTGATTTCTGCTGATTATCCTCATTATGTAGTCGCTCATACTACACGGAAAAACAGCGGATCTTTCTGGCTTTGTTTTATGTTGTGTATAGTGTGATAGTACTTTGTTTCGTGATTACAGTGATACAGCCTATTATATTGCTTTTGGGATTCATTTCTTCACTTTTGCTTTATTTTTAAGGACTACATATGATACTATAGCTAATCAGAGAAGGTTAGCAGCTGGTATTCGTTAATGATTATCGTTTTCTGTAGTAACGGATTTGTTGAAGTTCAGTTTTCCAGAACATTATGGCGCAGCGTCGTATGTCATCATTGGCTGGTCCTTTCGAACTAATGATGCCAAAAGCTCTTGATGTAAATACGATAGTTGAGACGCTAAACCAAATGTTTCCATCACTTCAACTTATCCCCGCTGATATCCAGAAACCAACGGTAAGCATTTTTTTATTTTTGAGAAAGCTGCGCCTTCACTGCTGAAACATACTGATCCAAACTGACTGAGGACATATGTTAAAGTCACGTTCTTTATATTTTTTGAGATATTCAAATTAATTTGTTTCATCTACGTTATTCTCGTAAAAGTTTCCTTTATAGTGGAGAAATTGTCTTCCTTCTGTACAGCAACATTTTTTCGACTTTCTTGAAACTTATTTGTGCTTACACTGCAATATCGATCAAGAATGCCATTTCGATATAAATTCACTAAATTGAATGTGAAAAGCTAAATTTCTTCACTTCTGAATTTAGGCTCCTCATCATCATTTCTTCTTTCCAAGGATCTAACAGCAGTTTGGTAGAAATCCTAAAAACAAAACTCAATGTGTTTCAAGTTCATTACGTTTAGTAGGTTAACAAAAATCTCATCCATAATAAGGAAAGTTGCATCATAATCACTGCGTGATTTAAGGCTGATTTAATGTGTACTGTATATCAATATATCACCCAGTACATCATGGATATTCCGGATGTTGTATATACGACACCACCGTTTGCAATTAGCAGATCTACGAATATGGATTTATTCATTCAGGCATATCCGAAATTAGTGATCTATCAAGCTTTGTAAGTCATTCAGACATGGTACTGTCGATTGTGTATTTGTGAAAAATCACATTTTTCCTATATTTTCATACATCATTATGTGGCCATAAAAATTGCATTGAAATCTATTGCATTGGACGTAAGGTAAAATCACAGACTGAGAATTCTTCAAATGGATGACTGTATGCAAGATAGAATTCCTCTTCTTGTAGTTGTTATAAAACATCGTTTAGCTTGAATTCCATGTGGTTTTTATGCTCAAGATTATCTGCTTGCTACAAAATTTTATATTTCTTCTACTGGATTTGGAAAATTTCTTCAACTGATTGAATAATCAAGAATATTTCAGGTCTGCTATTGTGGAAGATATTTCATCAAATGAGATCCAGTTCAGTTTTCTTGATTTAGTCGCACCAGAACCTGGTCCAACGCGAATTCTTCTTTCAACCTTGATCAATTTCATCGAATTCACTACAAATGCTATTGCGGTTAGTGCTGAACTGCTTCATTATTTCAGTGGCATTGTACTAAAATGGAAAAGTAACGACAGTAATGAGCCATTGTCTTTACAGATGGTTTTCTTAATTTCATAAATGTCTTGAACTTGACTTTTTTTATGAATTTGTCTTCATTTTTTTTTTCACGGCAAAACTGTCTAAGGAATAATTGATGTTACTCTGTGATTTATGCTAATACACGTAAAAATATGTATTTATTGTTCGGCGCGGTTCGTTTTTTTTAATAACTCGGTAAACATGGAACGTTTTGATGCTTCGATAACTTTACTTATCCAAGACTGATTATTAGTATTAGCCTAGCTTTTTTTTTTAATTTTTTTCAGTTTAAAAGTGGAAACAATACAGTGTTGACATTTTCTACTGAACTTATGATTTATGAGTTAATTTCCTTCGAAGATGTTGAAGGCTACTGAATATTCTTTCAAATTTCAGAAAGCGCATGATATATTTAGCAGTGTTGACGGCCGCAAAAGTGAGCTGGAATCAAAAAGGCTTAATGTTATTAATCTTGGTAATGAAGTACAACGCTTGCAAAGTGAAGCAACCAGTCGGAAACATTTAGAGAATGAGGTGGTTGAATTACAGCTGAATAAAAAATAATCTTTTATCCTTATTTGTTTGAGTTTATTGTCTCGTCTATGAGGACATATGATATCGTACTGCCTTCTGAAAGTGATAGTACCAAATCGTGCATTGTGCTTGGCGATGTTTTCTGCAGGGAAATTAGTTAATGATTTTTTTTTTAGTTCCGTGAAAAAATGGAAATTTCACAGCGTAGTGTGAAAGAAACGTATGCGCAAACCAAAGCAATCCAGATGGAGATGAAAGCAATTCGTGATAATAATGTTGAGGATGAGAAAAAATTGGTATATTTTTTTTAATCGTTAAGGGTGAAAACTAACCTGAATAATAACTTTTATATTTTCAACTTGATCGATTTATACTAAATTTTTTTCTTTAAAGAAAAGATCCAATATTTTGAAAAAAAATTTAATGTTTATATATTTATAAGGAATTTCGCAGGTGGAAATGCAAAGTGAAAGTAAACGTCTGGCATTTAAAAATGATGCTGTCGATAGAGATATTGTCAATTCACCTGATCGTCTGAACGCTGAATTAAATGAATTAACGAGATATTTGGAAAATATTCAGAAGGAAATTTCTGCAGAAAAGTTAGTGCATAAATGCTTTGTTTTTGTAATCTTGATAGTGCTGTCCAGTAGCTCCAAGTTTTAAAAATTTTTCTTTTTTTCTTATTTCTTAATTTTTCTTTTTGATTTTCCGCTCTGTGGTTTTTAAAATTTCTTTGAGCTTAAGGTGAAGATCACAAATCTCATTCTACCAGAAGTCGGTGTAACCTTTGTCAGAATTTTAAATCAAGTTGAACAGATACTATCGAATGTTAGAGAAGAAACCATAAGTCAAACTCAGCAATTCAACTAGTTGATTTGCTTTTGGCTACCGTTGCATATGTGCTTGTGGTACACCTACCACCACAGGGCATTCTGCAAGAAAAAATTACTGAGTTTTTACAGTAATGTATTGTTTTGCGATTTCAGCCATAAGAAATGGGAATATAAGGAAAAACAGAAGGCTAGAATTATGATTGCTCGATCTATGGAACATGTCATGGAGATTTTGAACAAATCGAGTGAGCGTCAGGTATGGTGTCTTTTTTTGTTCAAGAATATCTCGTGTTGTGGCTTTGTTTGCCCTTACAAGAACGAGTATTTTCTATTAAAAATTGGGCTTCATATCCAATAATCTTTTCATTTTGCTTGAGACTGTGCGAGTAACTTCCATAAGCTAACTACTGTAATGCTTCAAGATCTTTCAGTATTTTCTCTTGTTTCTCATTTCTTGTATAATTTAATGTTTTATCTAATTTCGATTTAATATTATTTTTTCTCAAGAGTGAAATTTTGCTTGAGGTTATTTGTGTTTGAAAACTGATTTCAACTCAAAATGAGCACCCCTTATTTGAACTTGTAGAAAGAAGGTACAATAATCGAAGAGGCGCTAGCTGGAGCAGAGGAACAGCGTAATGAAGTGAAAGAAGGCTGTATGAATATCGAGGAGAAATTGACAAAAGAGGGAAATAAATTGTTTACAATGGAAAAAGAGTTCGAAAAAGAAGAGTCACTGCACGAGAAATCTTTAAAAGACATTAAAGAACATTTGGCGACCTTGAATGAGTTTGTTTTCGTTTACTTTTCCGCTTCGATTTTATTTTATTTTTATATTTAACGGCTTTTCTTTATCCTTATTAATATTTTTAAATTTATTTAAGGAAGCTTGAAATTTCTGTTTCTCTCGCAGTTCCTGATTTCACTCCTTTATTTTAACTTATTATTTCTTTGCGATTTGTTAATATCCTTGCTTTTTGAAATGGTTCATCTTTTTCACTTTCTCATAATGAACTAATATTTAGTTCATTTTATTTATTGTTTCAATTCTGCTGCTTCAAATTCTTTTCCAAATGTCTTCGATTTCTAAATATACATTACTTGTAAATTTCGCGCAATTTATTAAGTTAGATTAAATGAAAATTATTTTCACGCTTAATACGTTAACCTCTGTCTGAATGTGCATGTGTTTGACGTACAGATATGGTAACATAAAGTTTTAGTGCATGTTGGGTTGCGTTTACTCATATTTTCTTTAGGTCTCTTATTCTTTTACAGGATTTCTCTCAATTAGAATAATAAAAGAAGGAGTTGGGATCTAATATCATTAAACATTATTTTACGGATAAGAATATAAATATGTAGGTTTTTCTTTATGTCAATTGAAGTTCTTAATTTAACTTCTAGTACCATTTTGCTACCATTTTGTTCATTTTGTCTGGAAATGTCATAGGTAATCTGATAAAGTTTGTAGAAACACTGTAAAAATGATGTTTCTATAGACTTTATCATACTGCGTATTTTTTATATTTCTTTGGTTTAAAGTATGATATTTTTAGACAAGTGAAAGATATTCGCCGACGAATGCAAGATTTTGATAAAGAGAATGTGGAAGTGCAACGAGAAATCGGGAAAACAAAGAATGAAATTGCAGCATTGAATAGAACAACGAATGCAGATATTATAAATTTGGCTACACGTCTTAACGAAGCCCTTAATAAAGTACATTACTAAATATTTTAACTCCAACTTCTTTTCTCAGTCCAATTTCCGAGTTTACAAGTTTTCCAGGAATTTTAACATTCCGACAAATCAGTTTTTCTTGGTTTCCACTTTGGGTTTGCTTTAACTGCTTTATAGAATTTATTTTTTCCGCAGAAATGCTTTTGCCTCTCCCAATTGATGTATTTAATTTATTTTCATGATTTTTTGAAAATAATGCGGATGCTGTATAAATCTTAAAACTGAAATTTAAATAGCAGTGTTATCAATTTTTATTAATTACATTTCGTTACAGTATTTGGAAGCTGAGAAGCCCTATGAAGAAGATTACAACAGAGTGGATAATTTAAGGAACCGTCTGATCGCCATGCTGAACGCATCGAATGGTGACACTACCTTCGATACATCGCTCTCAAGTAGCATGTTAGAGAACGGAATGTAAATCGAAATCAGGGGAATCGATTTTTCACTAGACATGATTATATATTTTGAATTCTCCCTCTTGAGATTTAGTACTTCATTGAATTTTTCTTTCATTATTTTTGTCATTAATTTTTAGAAACTTGCAGCTTTTTTTTGCTACGAATAACTGACAATCATTGATAAATTGGATTTTGAGGGTTGAGGGAGGTAGGCAGAAAAAGGAGATGTGTTTTGGAAAGAATCAAAGAATTAATATATAACCTCTTGCAATTTATTATAAGTTGGGCTTTGAATTTTATTTGTCATTGCAAATGTCGTGAAATGATTATCGTCATCGTTGCTTTAATATATACTAATATCACATTTACCTCCGTTTTAATGTCTTTTGTGGTTTCTTTTTATATTGATTCCAGCTCTAATATTCCGACGGCAGTAATTTCGAGATTTGAAATGCATAGAAATTTCAAGTCTTGCAATTGCAATCAGACTAATTCTATTATTAGATTAGTGAAAGGCAAGCTACTTTCATTTATTTTGACAAAATTTATTAAGAGAAAAATTATGAAGGGATTGGCATGTTAGCTCAATTTACTTGTTTATGAATCTTCATCTTTTTTTGAAATCAATTTTGTATTTACGTCAAAATCTTTTTGCATCATTGTGTTAATTTATTAAAAACTTAAACATTTTTTGTTGCACTTTTCAAAATGTCCAAAAAATTGTTCTCATCTTAGGTATATACGCTACACAATTAAAGCGGTAGTTACTACTTCTCTAGCAAATTTGAAATTATGATACATAAAAGAGCCATGAAAAAAATTTTTTTCCTTTTTTTATTCTCATTTTGTATGTTATGGCTTTTCAGGACTGCACGGAATCTGACTCGAAATTAAAATTTTTGAAAATTTTTTTGGAAATTTCATATTCATGCAGTGGTACAATTGCTTGTTTTATTCAGATATATTGGGCTTTCTTTGAGCAATCGGTATACAAAATCAACTACGCAGTTAAAAATTTCATTTAAAGTTTATCATTGATATTCCGAGATATATCATAAACTTTCTGTTCAAAAGAAGAATTAATATTGTCTAATTTATCAGAGAATCCTTAGTGTTTGGACAAGGAATTGCACGATTCTCAACTCTTTCTTGGACAACAATCAACAGTTTTAGAAAATTTGATTAATCATTATGGTTGAATCCAGCGGCAAAATTTGTGAATCTACAGATGGATATGTGTATCCCTGAAGTTTTGCGTTTCATTATACATTCATGGATTTGTATTCCATTCCCGATTGTTTTCATTATTGGTTGATGAAGTGCTTCGGCATTTTAAGGTTTCCTTATGTATCTCAAATAGATCCCATCATTATGGTTAAGCTCGATTGAACGATGAAATTGTCAAGTAAAAACAAGCAAGAAAGAATGTTTAATTTAAACAGTGGAAAATTTACTTTCATCATATGAATTTCAGTTTTATCTGAATGATTGTTTGCTTGAAAGTACATCAGAAGATAACTTCTGTTCCCAGTTTTTCTTCCTATGGAATTGGAAGATAGCAAAAGCCGATTCTCGAAATCTTGAAGTTCTCAATTTCCATCAATTAATATTGCAGTCCATTGCATTCGCATTGGAAGACTGTTAAGGAGTAATGCTGGGAATAAGTGACGCTGATTACTGTTTTATATATTTCGAATTAAAATGCTCGGCTTGGTTTCATTTTCAGCCGCTGATCTGAAACGAGAATTTAAGGAATTTTTCACAGCGGCTCGTGGGAAAATAATGGTGATTTAAAAATTAAGGTTTTTAAACCTAAATATTTTCAATCAAAAAAAGATTTAAGAAATCGTAATTTCGAGATAAACGGATTTTTAATTACGTTTATTGCAGAAAAATAATTTTTAGGTTACTTCTTTTTTCAGGCTGACAGTAGAAAAGGAATACATGAGCAATGGTAGCAGGCGTACGTCATTTCTGCTACCTTAAAAAATATGAGTGGAAAATAAGAGAAACCTGCGGTATTTGATGATTCAATATGCTGTGATGTTTTATGCGATCCTTTAAACGGCATCTGTTTCACAAATCGTCCAGTTGTTCGAGTGAATGAAGGATACAAAGATGCTGTAATCAGGTTTTTGCCAATCCTACTGCTAGTGTTTTCTTTAATTCGATCCGGTTTATATTTTAATCTACCGCCTTGTCTTGCCCATGATGATATCGGCTTGATATTATAATCGGTCTTCAGCGTCTGATTCCTATCAAGTGGAAACTGAAATTTTATCTCCAGTTTGAAATTTCATTATGTAAAGTTATAAAATCCCAAAGGTGGTGTCTTGTGTTCAGAAACAAGTTTCTTGTTCGGTTATGAAGTTCTAAATAATTATCCTTATTGCTACGATATCGTAACAATAAGGATAATTATCTGTCTGAAAACTTTTCTCATCAACAAAATCTACCAATAGTCTATACTATCATATACTGTTTGAGATTTTTTGCTAGTGCGACTTACTCTGCTGATATAATCGGGATCCCAAATCCATATATAATAAATACTCAATGATGTCGCTGGTAGTGACACAAAAAATATATAGCCTACGACTGTACAGAACCGAATCCATCTGAAACTTTCTTATCATATCAATTTTCTCGAATCATTTCAACATTATTTATTCAAAAATGTTACAGTTTCAGTTGTCAACCTCAGATAAATTAAACATGGTATAATGGTGATAATGATAATTTCGCACTTAGCATTTGTTGGCCGAAAGTTCAATTCGACTGCGATGCTTCCAAAAAAAAGCACTGACTTGACCCAAAAAATGGGCAATTTAGCCGTCAATGGAAGCAATAATAAAAATTTGGATCTTCATTGGGTGAGGTTAGACTGTGTTAAGCTTTGACCTCAAAGAAGTTCCAACATGTTTCTCTTTTATCAAAGTAAAAATAAGCAAATTCTACTTAATTTACGATAAGTTATGATAATCTTGCTATCAAAATAAAGGAATAGCAAAGTTTATGGACATTCAAATATTCTTTGTTTAGATGACAAAATTGAATATTAATGAAGAAAGAAGAAAGGTAAAATTTCAATCAAAAGAATCTAGAAAATTATACTTCATATTTAGCTCAAGACTAACTTCTTATTTTCTCTTTGCGTAAATTTAGCTCGTTTATCCGATGTATACACGGGTTCCTTTATCCTTAATCGAGTTGTTGTAGTTAATGAATTATTCGACATCGTAAAAGATAATTTTCTGATCTCTTCTATTAACAAAATAACAATCCGGCTGAAAAACTTATATATCAGTTGCAATGATTTAATCACAATTTAAGTAATCATTACTTTACTATTACGTATTATATATAAAACAAAAGCAAACACATTACATTAAGTGTCATATGTATTTCATTGAAATATTCTAGTAAATTAATTATTAATCTTTACTGCCATATTTTATACAATCCAAAAGTTGCGCTAAAATAATGTGGAATTATTAAGTGAGAAAGGAATGTAATAAAAGTGACGATTATAGTAAGAGTGAATGTTACTCCTATCTGAGTTTTTATAAATGAAATGGATGGAAGAGTTGAAGTGGATGAGTGATTACTCGGATCGATAGTTTAAAAGCTGAAAATACTAAGATATGGATGCTGAAGGACTAAATGCGCCATACGACGAGATCAACAGGAGGAGGATAGTAGTCTGAAAAGACTTAAGCAAAAGTTGAAATTAAAAGTGAAGAAGAGAATGGTAGAAATTATGAGATGATACAACGAGAGTGTGCTTTTTCTTCTAAATAGAAGAAATACAGATGGAATTATTTCGATTTAAAAGAATATTGATGATATATTTTGAAATAACTTTTTCAAAGTTTTGACTTCCGTGGTAACTAAACAAATCAATGGTTTAGATAAAGTCGAACATTCTGTCAAAATAAGTGATTGTCGCCTTTCCCGTATTTCTTTTTAGTTTCATTTGAATGTTTAAAAGGATGAAGAATTGAAAATTAAAATTTATTCTCGATTAATGAGAAATTCCCAGTTATTACGAATATTATTTAAATGAGCAAATTTATCAAACTATTTATCATTTATAATGATTTCTGAGGCGCTCGGTTTGCTGCTTGGCCAAATTGCTATCCTGTCAATGACACGTTTTTTTAAGGCTTTTCCAAAGCCATGGGTTCATAAGTATGCACATCCGCTTGTTCGACGATTTCTTAGATGCGATATGCCGAACGATCCTTTGAATAGGTTATAATAATCTTTCATTTAGTTTTTTCCTTTTTGGGACGATTCAATTTTCCGATTCTTTCTTGGCGATGAAAGAGTAAGCAATAAATAATGTGGTTGAATTTAATTGAAATTTTCAAAAAGCTATCTCAAATGGCTTTGAAAAAATAATGTAAATAATTGACCTTTTGTGTAGCAAACGAAATATTTATTTCATTTCTTAATTTTATGTTTGAAAATTACAATCTTATGATTTGATATTATTCCAATTCCATTTGCAATTCTGCAGTATCAATAAATTTTCCCGATTGATTAAAATATTAACTCATTTAGTAAAACGGTTACACTTTCCGTTTTCCGTTTTAAGGTCAAATCTATAAACTTTATTGTGTTTTCAACAATTGATTTGTTAGTTATCTATTGTTTGTTAATACAAATAATTATCGAAATTTAGGACGCAATTAGAATCAATTTGCGTTCCAATTCCATCTGCAACATTCCGAAGACATTATATGAGAATGCAAATTATCATTGATTCGATCAACAAAGCGTTACTTAAACTATGCAACTATGATAAGCAATTAATCAAATTTGAGGAAACATTTATTGGTTCAGCGATTATATTAGCTATTATTTTTGGTATTCTTCTAACGATATTGTTATGGCTACGACGTTTATCGTATGCATTGCCTAATGAATTTCCACCAAATAATGTAAAGTTTGTAAAGGATTTATAATTTTTCAAAATTTATTTTATCAGAAGCTATCAATACTTTCCATAAAATAAATCTTACAAGGATATCAAACTAAAAGTTGAAGTTCAAATAATTGATTAGCAATACTTTTAATTTATGATTTCTTTTACAGAAAGGAAATGAGCAAAAATATAATTGTTCGAAGCCAAAGGAAACATATCGAGAAACATCAAACTCAGTATAGATAATTTCAAATTTCATAAATTTTAATGCTACCCTTTTTCCAAAGAATTCCAGGAATAGTTGAAATTTAAAAGATATAAAATGATTCATTGATTGATCGTTAAGTTTCATAGTATTGTTATTTAGGGAAGGTTATGATATTCGGCGATCGTATTTGTCATATTTTCTTCAATTGAACAAGTTATTGCTATTTCTCCTACAATAAAACAATTGAATTTTAGTGAATTTAATTTTGCGAATAATTCTTTCGTTTTTCTTTTCTTTCTTTAGGTTAATTTAGGTGAAGAAGCGAAAAATTCAACCGAAAAGTCACATAACAATTCAACAATATGCAAATCATTTTTGAAATCTGAAATTAACTTATCTGACAATTCAATTAATCTCAAAATGAAGCCAACAGAAAAAACAATTGCTAATTTGAAGGAATTTGGAACGTCTACGTTTAATCAAAACGTTCGTTTCTTTTCTTTCTTTTCACTCGAAATTTGGAAATATGTTTTCAACCACTTTGAACTTTGCACATCAAAAGAAATAATGGTGAAAATTGAACTCAAAAAATGAAAGGAAAAAATTGAAGGAGCAAATAGATAGGACGGAGGCAATCATTATCCGAAATGAATCTAATGCTGGAAGAAACAAAGAGGCGATATTCAACATACGCTCACGACAATGGAAGACCAATCAAACCAATAGTTCTAGCAATTATGACAACTGTCAAATCGGATGGAAAACTTTTGGTGAAATAAAAAGACAGGTAAATACTGATGATTTCATTTTTGACATCATTTTTTCGTCAACAAAAGATTACCTATAATTTCTCTAATTTTATTGTATGCTATTTTTTTGCAAATAGAAAGGTAAAGCAATTGCTAGATATAATGTAAATCAATGTAAAAATTTTTGTGAAGTTTTGTAAAATCTTTTAAAATACACACATACAACATTGTTTATAAGTAAACTGTCACTTACTTGCAAGAAGTTTAAGTTATTGTCTAAGTTATTTTGTATAAGTTACTTTGTATAAGTTCCAAGACATTTCATCTTTATATAAGTTCCAAAAAATTTCATCAGGCAAGAAATGCTATGAAAATATTAAGTTAGCAAAGAATGAGTAAATTAAATTTTGATTGTTGCAGAGGTATTTTCCAATTTTGTTGTTTTCGTCGGATGAATCGCTGAATAAAAATATTTCGCATCCGTCGATGGAAGTTCATCCGATGAAAACTACCGAACGAGTACCTCTGAAGCGCCATTATAAAAGGATTCTTTAAATAAAAAAGAATTGCATAAGATTTCGCTAACTTTAATATTATTTCACTGCAAATATTTTACCCGATAAAATGGTTAATTATATGAAAATAAAAATTTCACAGATATCACAAATTTCATTCAGAATTAATTTCTGAAATTAATTAACAATTGTGCTTATGTTGTGCATTTTTATGTACATGCGCATCTGACAAATGCACATTGTTTATTGACACTTTCTAAGCAAATGTTATTATCATTGCTCTTATTCGTTCATCTTATCTTTCATGCTATTTTTCTGATCGTTTATGTGGCGTATTTTATAAATTGATAAACATGATGCTAGCTATGAAGCGATGTACTGTAAAATAAATGGCTTTATGCAAATTGAAATTGAATGAATAAAGTTAAAAAGTTTATGAAATTAATAGCCAATGAAAAAAACAGTGGAGTAATAGTAATAAGTTTAAGTTTTAAGGATTGAAAATATATATTATGCTTAGTAGGCCAAATTATGCATATCTAAAGCTTTGATATTTTAATGCTTTGTGAAATCGTAAAGTCGAAGTGAAGCGTTACGTTCACACAAATTTGTTAATTTTATATTTGAAGAAGTGAATGATGAATTTGGCTTAGTTAAGTATATAACTTCAAATTTTTGAAGTTGAATTTGAAAGTGAAAATATATGTTTAGTATGATTAATGCATATGTTAAGGGGAAGAATTAGCATGCATGAATGATTAAAATTAATTTAGAAGAAATTTTAAGCCTAAAGAAAATGCAACATTTTAGGATTAGTTGACGTTTTCTAATAGATAGCTTGCTTGGGTGTGTGTGTGTGTGTTTGTAAAGTCTTAGAACATCTCTTGAAATAATCTTTTTCAACTATTTGATATAGTTTTTGGTTTTCCGGAATAATGCATTTTTATTTGTTTGTGTTGATTCTGTGAATAAATATTTGTTTGTTTGTTTGTTTGTTTCAATGAAAGATATAGAATAAACATAAACAAATTTTTATTTCTTCACGTTTATTCTATATCTTTCATTGAAGTGTGTGTGTGTAAATATAGAACTGATTAAATATAATATAGTCATATTTCCGTCAAATCCCAAAAAAATTTTAAATGAAAAACTATTTTTTTGAATTTATTCAAGTAATAAAAATTTTTTAATTTCAAAATTAAATCAACATAATTTAATGCTGAAAATTTTTTCTTCCTACCGACAGATACCGACATTGTTTGATATCTGATTAGCACAAAACAAACGAACAACGCTACATCACATTTCTAATCAATTTCAAAAAACAAAAGAACTTCATCACATTTCTAATCAATTTCAAAAAACAAAAGAACTTCATCACATTTCTAATCAATTTCAAAAAACAAAAGAACTTCATCACATTTCTAATCAATTTCAAAAAACAAAAGAACTTCATCACATTTCTAATCAATTTCAAAAAACAAAAGAACTTCATCACATTTCTAATCAATTTCAAAAAACAAAAGAACTTCATCACATTTCTAATCAATTTCAAAAAACAAAAGAACTTCATCACATTTCTAATCAATTTCAAAAAACAAACTTTAAGCCTCGAATATTTGTACAAGCATACCTTTTATCATTCGGAATTATTAAATTGAAAGAAGGCTATAATTAGCATATCATTTCCGTATAGCGTTAGAAAGAAAACAGTAAATTAACTATTTAAGATGATTTTTTTACTTTTTGTTTTTCAAAATGAAATTAATTTTTATAAAAAAAAAATGTACTTTTAGAGAAATATTAAATTTCCGAAAGAAATTGACAAATTGAAGTTTTCTTTTTGTCAAATTATTTACATAAATTTAATTTAATATATAAAATTTATTTGACGTGCAGTCTTTCTATCTTATACAAAATACATTTATTTACTTTTTTGGTGTAAATTTTTTAGCCTAAAATTATTATAATTTGTAATTTGTTTCATTACTGAAAATGGATTTCGTTCGGATTCTTCGAGTAACTTACTTTGCTTTACTTTTGCTTTTTAGAATTACATTAGAGAATAGATAAATAGAATGAAGAATAATTGCAAATCGATAATATTCATTTAAGTGAAAACGGAATATGATTGAACTAAATAAACTGAATTGAAATATTTGAAAATGAAAAGAGCGATTGATAATTTGATAATTTGAGAGCGATCTTTGAAGTAATCATGCCGAGGGAATGCAATGAAACTTAATTATCACAATTTTTCATTTCTCTTCTCATAGTAAACAAGAATTTGATTTTGATAATGAGATCGTTAACTTCTTGGACAACTAAATTTAAGTCAATTTTAAGAGATTGACAAAATTGATTAAATTATAGTAGACATAGATTAGTAGTTAATGTTTGCTTCTTTATAAGCCAAATAGATTAAATGATGAATAATATGAGATTTAGGCTAAATGAAAGAGACAATTTCATAGTGTATGAAATATGAAATGGATTGTATTAATAATGGATGAAGAATTTCAATTCGTGAAATTGAAATATTTTTTACAAATTGCCCGAAGCATTCATTTATTTCTGAGATCTTTTATTTTCAGAAATTTTCTATTTGCAACTTTCTTTCATTTTATTTTTCAAACGAAATTTTGATCAGTATTCTTTATTAATCAAAAAAATCCTACATAGATGAAAATTTTGAAATATGATACTTTTGAAATGATTGTTTTTAGAGATATGTCAATCCTTCCGTTAAAGATATACTCCCTTCTTCAAATAATACATATATGTTGAAATGTTTTTGAATTCAATCACGTATTTTTAATACATGATTGAATTAATAGATAACAGTGATAGCAATGAAATTTTTAACATAGAATTAATGGTATCATCTATTTCTGCAACACATCTATTTAGTATCTATTTTACAACAGACTTGGCTAGTAAAATTTATTACATTTCATTTAAATCACTCAGACTTACAGTTTACCTTATCCATGCATCATTTTGATTGTTCCTATAGAGAGGAATTAAATTAATTTAATTACAAGTACAAATTGTGCTCCATTTTTAAAGTAATAGTAGCAAAAAAACATTCCATTCAGTACATTTGACTATCAACAAAAAAGGCATTACTAAAATTAGAGAATTATAGCCTAATATTGAATGTCATTTAAATTCATTACTTGACAATAAAAGTTTCTCCGCATCATACAGTAATTCTTACTTGCACGAAGTTAATTATCTTATATACATGTATGATAATTAATTCTATGCTCATCGATTGTTTGTTTGATTTAAATGAAATTTTAATAATATAGTTAAAATTTGATGGTAACTTCAGCAATTCCAAAATTCAGAAAAAGCTAATGGTAATGCTTCTTCCTGAGTAAATCCTTTTTAAAATGTTTCAGAGAAAGATGGAGTATAAATAATTTTAGAATTCAATGTTTAGCATTGCGAACATTATGTTTATTATAACGGTTATGATAATTGCGTGATAAAGATAACAATGATAACGGTTTGCTGAGATTCGTCGTAATTGGAGAAAATTTCATTTTGCTAATGCCTACATATTTGGTATTTATATATCGGAAATACGGATAAAGATGGAAATAATGATAAAGATGGTATTATCAGCTGGTAGAGAATAATATCGGAATGATATGGAGGAAATTGATAATCGTTAAAAAAAGCTTGATAAAATTAATATTAGCAACAATTTTTTTAATTCTTTAAAATAAAAAGAGAATATTAATTTAACAAACATAATTTCC